CCCACCCGCCGCCCAGGGGTGGGGGCCGGGGGGGGCAGTAGGTCATTTGGTCTCCCCCCCCTTATTTTATTTTAGGGCCCCCACCCGTCGTTTAGGGGTGGGGGCCAATAGTTTTTTTTACAGTGAGCAGCCACGGGCTGCTCACTGTTTACCAGACATGCCCCTACTCGCAGTATAGCGAGTAGGGGCATATTACTTACTAATACTTAGTAATTTTTACTTGGTATTAGTAAAGTTGGCTGAAAGACCAATTTAGGTCTTTCAGCCTTTTAGTAGATAGCTCCCTGATACCGTGGGAATTAGGGAGTTATCTACTAAGCGGCTGCAAAATGCAGCCACAGCAGTGAATAGGATTGGAGTTTCATTCATTCGAATGAAATTCCGATCCGAATAAAATGCCGAATTGCGTTCTAAAAGAAACGAACAGACTGTTCTCATTCAGTTAGAACGCAATTCGGCAGTTTTGTGGAAAGTGACAGGAAGCATTGTGGGAACACTGAGGAAAGCTAGGGATCATGGGAAAATTGCTCTGACCAGCGGAATTGAAGCACACTTTGCTCCTCCGCTCCTCCGCTGGTCAGAGCTGGTCAAGCGGAGGAATCCTCCATAAAGCAAAGAGTCCCTACTTTGTCTTATGATTTTAAAGAAAACTAATGAAGACAGGAAGAAAAGAATAACAGATCCTGAGAGAGGGGGAGAAGAGGAAGAGATTGAGGAAAGGTAAGTTCGGCATGACAGTGCCGCTTTAATACTTGCCGGATGCTAGAATACAAGAAGTGTCCTTAACTAGAGCAGATCCTCCATGGAGTGAATCTGTGGGTGGTATCCAGAAGACAGGTAATTATCCTTGATTTAATTGCATCTTGTGCCACTCCATGATCCAGGGTAACTTGGAATAAATACAAAGTTCCATAGGAAAACCTAAACTAATTTAAACTTTGTGAGCCTTTCCAATACATTGTTCCAGTCATTGGTTAAGAGCTTATCCTGTACTGTTTATATTGTGTAATTTCAAATGGTGTGAACGGCCATGTATTAAGTTTGTTTTATTTACCCTGAAATACTATTAGGTCCCCTTATCCTTTAATATAAGGAAACACTGTTTAATTCAGTTTTGTATCCATCCCTTCCTGCAATGCCTCCATTACATGTAGTGTTTACATTGTGTTACTTTGTATTGTGTGCACTCCGAGAGCTAAATAAATACAGCGAGAACATTCACTGAGCTTTACTGCCGCACTTCCTGTTTAATAAACTGGTTTTATTTTTCTAGAACCAGAGACCCCTGACTCAGCCAAAAACAAGATGGTGACAGGGATAATCGGGTTTGTTCTGGGGGCCATTTTCATTGTAGTCGGTTTGGTTCTCTATCTGAGAAGTCGGAAAGGTAATTGTAGACGCTTGATGCCTTTTTGATATGAGGCGCGATGTACAGTGATATTGGGATAAAATGATGCTCTGAAACCTGCCGCTTGACGACATTTTTCTTTGTTCTTTTTTTTTCCCCAGCAACTTCTACAATACGTGTCCGTGGGACAGAAGGTAAATTTATTTCAATTTGAGGTTCTATTTTCATTCAGTAGTAAAACAGTTTCCACACATATTTATGTCATTGATTGAAATATATCCTGACGTGTTTTGAAAAAAAATTAAATAATGAGCACAGAAACAGTACTGAGAGAATCGGAATGATACTATACAATCTAAAGGGACACTGTAGGGACCCAGACCAATTCTGCCCATTGAAGTGAAGTGGTCTGGGTGCCAACTCCCACTACCCTTAACCCTGCAAGTGTAATAATTACAGTTTTGTATAAACTGCAATAATTACCTTGCAGTGTTAAGTCCTACCCTAGTGGCTGTCTACTAGACAGCCAATAGAGGGCACTTCCTGCTCCATAGCACAGGTTGAGCATCACTCAATTCCCCATAGGAAAGCATTGAAAGGAGAGCTCTAATGTGCGTGCGCGGCATCGCACGCAGTCTCCTCAGCCGACAGGTGGGATCAGTCTCGCCCACCGGCTGACATAAGGAAGAGGAGGAGCGGCGGCCAGCAGAAACCACCGCCGAGGGACATCGGCGGGGGTCTCAGGTATGTGACTGAAGGGTTTTCACCCCCTTCAGCAACCAGGGATGGGGGTGGGAGGGAGAGGGGACCTGCAGTGCCAGGAAAACTGATTGTGTTTCTGGCACAGGAGTGTCCCTTTAATGTAGTTGTGGTGAGTATAGTCAGTCCCTGCAGGCTTTTTGCTATATTGCTGCCGATGGACAACTCCAGTGGCCACTTAAGGAGCTTCCTGGGTCAGTTCTGCAAAACGTGCAGCACAGACGTTCAGCGTCTGCACTCACTGCATGGAGACGCTGAACTTTCCCCATAAAGATTCAATGCATCTCTATGAAGAGATGTTGATTGACCGGTGTGGTGTTTTGGCTCCATCCCCTGCCATCAGAATTGACAGTCATCCAATAAAGGTGCATTTTATTGCCTTTTAAAGGGTGGGGAAGGGGGTAAGACACCCAATTTTTTTATTTTAGCAGTGTAGGAATACAAGTTTATGTTAATGACCCTATAGTGTTCCTTTAAGGTAAAGGATCTGCAACAGCATTTAGTCCATTGAACAACAATCACAAAGTCTTTAGCTTGTTATATAGTCAGGCAGGTCCACCCTCCCCCTGGCTGATGCTCCAGCTTATTTCTCAGATTACAAGAACTCCAAATCAGGAGGAGAAGAATCCTCACACTCCATTGTTTTCTTTCTGGGATGTGTCAGTGCTGGGAAATTGCAAAGATATCATCACATAAATCCAGTTAGTTGATTTGGGAGC